AAAAACGTTTTTCGTTGTTATTCTGAATGGCATCTGTCTACTTGCTCTTAATATTAGGGTAAAAACTTCGAGGGAAAACTATAGCTGCAACTATAAACAAAAAGACTCTAAAAACTAAGCTAAAACTAAATAAATGAAATAATTATCAAGCTTATATATGTGACAATTTTTGAAATAAACGTAAAGTAGAAATGAGAAAATTTGACCGTAATTCCTTAAGGATAAAAGGTAACACTAATTTTAAAAAGAAATTAACTAGCTTTGTATCGAAATCTGTCTGGGGAAATCCGGCTATGAAAGTCAAAGTTGCAACTGAAATTCGCCGACACACAGCCGGCGCTGAAGCTGTTGTTTTTAGACCGTTCTCTGAACGACTGATATGAATGAACACTGAGGAACAAAATAATACACACAGAATTTATTTTTTGAAAAATTTATTTGAAAACCCAAATGTTTCTGTACTCGAATGAAATTCGCTTATTCCAGCGTAATGTGCCCGTTTAAACTCAACTAAAATTTTTAATCGATGCGATGAAAACTTCACAACAAAGCTGTCTAGAATTTGAGCGTGTTTCCTAAAATATTTGCTTGAATTTAGCATCAGCTTGATCAAAAAGTCAATAACACAATGCTAATTGGTAAATTTACATTTCAAATAGAGTTCTCTTCTATAAAAAACACAAAATGTACCTTAAATCTTCGCTCGCTCGATTTTCCTTCAGCCGATTCTAGCGCGAGGAAAACAGTGATTCATTCATCCAGGGCAAATTTGCCGCTTGATCTTTTGTCTTTTTTCCTTCAAAACGACAGCTTAGTATTTTCTTCAACTTCCACTTTTCATCTGTGCATTTCATTGGTGTATTTTACTGTCAGGAGAGGAGATTTGTTGAATTTGCCTAAATTTTACCGCGCTAGCTCAGTTTCTTGGCGTGCACCCACGGGCAAATGGTAGTGGCTGACTGACCAATCAGAGCGCGCGATTTACTTGTGTTATGTTATATTAATTTTAACTCGGTTTCAGTGCAGCAATGGTGCAAATAAACAAGTTGCTCGTTTTGCTGCCCGTTTTTACCGTAGCTTTACGGTCGCTTGATTTATTTGTTTATTTTAGCCTCGTACCTTTCTGTTTTTGGTGGCAATATTTGTTTTCTTTGTTTAGTCATACAGATTAGTTGCATACTCGAAACATCTCTACTTTTTTCAATTGCTTTGTAAAACGTAGAATGCCTTGACTTGAAATCAAATATCTTGTATGAATTTTTGTGTGATTTTATTTTACTATATGTATATACAACTATATGTATGTCAATACTTGTCGCAATAAAAAAGTTATTAAAAGAAAAAAAATTTTAAAAAAAGGAAAAAAACAAAGCTTTACGGTTCGAACGAACAAGAAAACGTCGAAAAACGCGCGACTTTACGGAACAGTTAAGGTAATCAGGCGTATCAGTACAGTTTCTTTCTTTCTCAATTCTTCTGTGCAATGAGTGTGGGGAATTTATACCATAGCAGACAAAGGCTATGACTGTGAATTTACGTTTGCATTTGTATTGTAAGTCTAAGCCAAGAAATCTTGATTTATACACTCTGTATGAGATGGTCAACGAAATTTATGTGTGCTATCGCGAACGGTTAGTTACCTAAAAAGTCTGAAAATGACATTTTCCAGCTTAATTAGCTATTTCGTAAAAAAATACAATTGTAATGACCTGTCAACTATGTTAGCATTGTCACCAAGAAATTCAATGTGGTGCGGAGTAAATCCTGATAAAAATAAGAAATGGGGGTAAAATAATTTCATACTCCCTGGAAGTAGCTCTTAGAGATTTAAATATTTTGCTGAAAAAAAAAAACACACATTTCATCGTTTACAGTATACTGATGACCACCAGATTGTTGTTTACAGAGCCATTAGTTGTTTAATTAAGTCCCACCATTGTAGACTTGATTAACAATAGGCCATTTGCTTGACGTCGTATGACGTCAGCAACCAGAATCCCTCAGTTTTGTTTTAAAAATTTAGGCTATTGTATTGAAACTTCATTGAGTTACTAATCCAAATATGAAGATAAATAACGAAATGAATTGTGGTTCCTGTGTACCTATTTCCGGCCACGAAATAAAATGGCCGAATTTATACTGGAGGCGAATTTTCTAAAAGCGTGAACGTATACTGGAGATGAATTTTTCGTCTGACAAGAGATTCGTTTCAGTATAAATTCGTGAGACGAATTTAGACGAATTTTGGAGGACATTTATCCTAAAAGACTGGGCGTGAATGATAAACAAATAGCTTCCTTTATAGCTCTTTTGATCAACAGCTAAGATCGAGAAAAATGGCAGTATTTCAGTGTCATAGTGTGTTAACAGCGTTTCTTAACTGTCTTTACTTGACCTTTCTTTTGACATTGTTCAGTGAAAACACAGTAGTTTAATCACACATTTGTTCAATGACATTTCACATAGCTAGCTTTGTTTCAAACCGGGAGTGATTGTTTTTCCTCTTCTTTTCGCTGTTTCGCTGAGACTTGGTGTGGTTCTGGGCGCGCCCTCGTTGACGTTGTGTCCCGTGAAACCTTGCGAATGAATGGATACGGCGGTGAACTCAAGTCAAAACTGAGCAGAAATCCGTCTTCGTTTTCCGTCTAGATATCAATTTAAAGGCGGATTATCAACCTCAGACCTCTAACAAACTTATTAAGCGAAGACGATTTTAATTCATCAAAACACCGGATTTATATCTAGACGAATTATTCGTCCCTGAAGGATATCTTGTCTTAGGCGGATAAGTCGTCTGTAGTATAAATTTGGCCAGTGTTTATAGGAATGTTTATCAGCCAGAGTTTACAGAACTCAGTTGAGAGAATTTTAGGGATATAAACCTGAAATGTCTTAATTTGTTGTGTTCCTTTTTATATTTGGTCCTAGTTTCTTGTTACGTTTGCTTTTAGTGATCTTTCTGTATGAAGTATGGTCAACTGTAACGTTACGAAAAACGCATTTTCTGCTGGTGGGCCAAATTTTAACTTTGTTCTATAGAACTCGTCTTTTTTTCTTTTCTTTTTAATTATTTTACGAAGTAAGCAAAATTTCAAGGTTGACGAAAATCAACTTTCTCGCCTTTTACTAGCCTGAATTTCAGCCGTTTCGTCAAGTCGCAAACTCCCGGGAGAGATGTTTGCAACTCCAGCAGACGTCTGAAATTCAAGCTAGTTTTTTTTACATGGCTCGTGCAGTTTTCATAACACTTCGTTCCGCGCTTGCTATCCGGATATAGTTTTTGACCTGAGACGATACTAATGTAATGAAAATGATACAGAGAACTACATTCAGTCATCAAAGAAGCAGAGTTTCTGGCCTTTTGATGCAAAATTTTATTTCACCTTATTTTTACAAATTCCTTATTTAACCCTTTTTTAAAAATAATTAACAGTTTCATAGCTGCATTTTAAGGCCGCTTGAAGGCTGTTTCTGCGTATTACAGCTCTTACTGGACCAAAATATATCCCATCGCTTTGATGTTCTGCTCGCCATTATCTGCCCCGGCTAAAGCTTCGTTGCCACACGTGTTGGAGTCATCAGGGTACCCTGCAGTGCCAAACCCGATCCTGGAGTCACAGCTGTTACAATCATTTTCGTTATTGCCAACAATACCAATTCTCGCTCTGGCACCACCACCACACAGTGTGTTAAATCCTTCCTTGTTACAGTTGGTTTGTAGAGAGGCCCGAGAGCCAATGAGCTTCTTCCACGTGTTACGGCCCAGTGAAGTAGCTCGGTACTTGCCATCTGCGATCAGTGAATACAGGGATCTGGCTTGATGGTTTATGACAACAGACTTGAACTGCTGACCGATCTTCGTTCCAAGACAGATCTTGTTAAACGGTGTGTTCCAATAAGTCGGTAACTTGGTCTCGTGAGTGTCCAACCCAGTCTTCCCGCCTGGAAGGTTGAAGTCGACTTTGTTGCTCCACGGTTTAGAATTGTAGTGAAATGTTTTCTGGAAAAAAAAACCAGTTAACCCATTCATAAAGAGTACTATCACTTTGTTTTTTATCCTTTTGAGAAATATGATACAGTCGCCTTGGTGTTCACTGGTTTTGTTGCGAAGTCCTCACATATTATTCTCTTCATACTTTGTCTGTTACTACTGACAATGAATTGAGCTAAAACTTTTCAAACCTACACGTAATAGATCCCCATTCTTCCATTTGACGTGGACTGGTGACTTACATTGTAAGTTTACCTTTATATTGGAAATAAAGTGATGACAAACGTGGCAACTTGTGAGAACATTTAAATTTTAATACCTTTGAGCCATCGATCTTCATGACAAGCGTCCATCCACCTCCTCCGCATGCATCAAGACCATGCTTGGTCATGTGACAATATACGGGAATCTTTGCAGATCCAACATCAAGCAAATACGCTTTATTTTCACTGGACCTGTTAAAACATACCACTTTATTGATTACTCCCAGTTTGTTTGTTTGTTTCTGTTAAAGTTAGGACACCATGGAAAATCAGAATTCTCGTAAAAGAAATCTGTCTTATCAGATAAGCAATGTTTGATCCAAGTTGAATAATCTTTTAAAAATATCGTGTAGTGTTGTTATTACTGACTTTGTCGATGAGAAGGACTCTTCTTTACCGCCATACATCTGATAACTTTTCAATCCTCTTAAGTTAGTGATTCATAAACTATCCTTCCAGTTTGAGTGTTTAGTTAATTGTCTGACTTTTCTGATTAATTTTAATTCTTTTTAATTCTTATCTCCTTATTATTTTCTTACCATTTTCTTGTCGGTATTTTAGTTGATTTGTAATCATTAGGACACCAATTTTCTCTTTTTATTTTCAAAAATACTGAAGAATATTCAGAAGCAATTCTCTGTGTTTTCCGTTGGTGGCCTTAAAAGCCAGTCTTTTTTTAAGATTTAATCTAAATCAGTTCAAGGTTTAGTGTTTTAAGGGCTTTTAGCGCTGCAATGTTTGCCTACATCAAATGAAAGCCACAATAATAATTTTCCATAGAATTTAAGCATTCTTTAGATTGCCTTTACCTTAGTTACATAAATTTACCGATACGAACATTTATTCTGTAACCAATTCTTTTTTTTGGAAATAGTTTTTGTTATGACTGTTTGTAGACGTATATACTTACAAGTTCTTGATATAGATTTCCTTGCACGTAGAGGCTGTGGGACCGAAAATAAAAGGATATAAAGCGTGTTATTTGTAAAAAGAAGACTTTCCACACCATTCTGTAAGAAACACTTTGAGATATTAGATATTTTTTCATGGTTTGTAATTAGGTTAATCACTCCTGAAGTCTCGAACTAATTCATAATAAATTCATCACAAAATGCTGTTCAAAGAATTTCTTACCGGTATTAGGAGAAGGCCGTAGCATTTCAATTATCTGATCCAGTTTTTTGTCGATTTTCTTGATTGCTTGGTTTGTTTCAGAGTTATGTCCGTTGTACTGGTTGCAGACAAATGATTTGCCATCGGTACTTTTCGTTCCATTCGTTGCGTTTGCCGTGAGCAACAGAGAAAAAGCTAAAATGAACCAAAATCTCATCTTTCGATTAATGTTTGCTGTATTGAAGCGTTTGTTATCGAGTAAACTACAATATTCTGTAATGTTCCTTGAACCGGAATACTTGTACTCGGCAATGCTGAGTCTCTTTTTTTACCTTAGTCTTGACTCGTATTGAAGACAAGAAAATTTTCCAGTCGAAATATTAATTAATTAATTACTTGGTTCATCGTATCCGTTTAAAGTGACGGCGGTGAAGTCTCACCTATAAGCGCTGGCTGTTTGAAAGCTAAATTTGCAGTAATGTTCATGAAAAGCTCTTAAATTCTAAGGGATTAACTTGTAAGAATAGACGAAAATTGTGCTTGAAGGCACACGCCGTGCTTTTGTATAAATTTTGTTTGTAGCAGACGGCTGTTTATAGCAGTGCCTCAGTTCCTTTACGTATTAAGACAAAGCAGAAAATTCATAGAATGATAAATGACTTAAAGCGTTGGAAGTCGTGAATTAGTTTGAAATTATCCCTTCCTTTAGGCAAGTTGTCTTTAACTTCGTTATGTTTTTTGTTGTAATTGAGAATTTCTCGAATGAATTTATGGCTTGCTATTTAATCACTACATGGATGACTGGCTAAGGATACATCAGACATTTGCGTGCGGGAGCAGAGTAGGGAGGGGAGGGTAAGGAGAACTCTTCTTTTCCCTCAAACCCCGGTCTCCCCGAGAGCTTGCTCTCGTCACCTCTGGAGCCAAGATAACTAAGAAAGTGATCGATTCAATGTTGCGTAACTCTCTTTGGGAATTACAGGTCTTTTTCGTACGTTTTTAATGGTTTTTAACAAAGCGTGAATAGATTTGCAAAGAAATGTTTTCTCCTGTTATTAGTTTATGTGGAGGAAAGAGATAGTATATGTTGCGACTAAGTAACCTTTAGAGGTTGTGCTTCTTACTTATCCATTTAATTTAATTTTTTTTCTGACTCGATCAGTGCAGTTGTCATGCAGTTGTTTTGCTGATAATGGAAATTTACCATTTTCACATTACCCATAATACACCTTGCTGTACGCCCTCAAAGTTTGCATAAAGCATTGTCCTCTACTTCCCTTGGGACGACTGTTATACCCCGGGGTTTTACCCAGGGAGAATTAGAAACAACGGCTAATATGCAAAACTTTGTAGACTGAAGGGTGTTTAATGGGCAGTATAAAAATGGTCAATGTGAACAGTTTGGACTATACGTACGGATTTAGAAATTTAATTTGGCACTTACTCGCAGTTATGAAAAGAATAGCTTCCCGAGGCTATCACGGTGAATTCGTTTATTATTTGCTGTTGACGTGTTATGCGTTTTTCCAAAAGAAAACCAAAGCATGATTTATTTGTAGTCTTCTCAAATGGTTAATGACAGTAAGCATGAAAACTTGTGTGGGACTATTTTTAATGGTCTGTCCAAAGAGGCATGTTCTCTGTAAAATTCAATGTGTAAAAACTGCATTCATGAATCAGTGTTTTTAGCATACAGGAACTTTTGAGATCAGAAGTTGACTAAGCTGAAGGGATGTTAATTTTTGCCATTGTTGCCTTTTTGCGATTGTGACTGAGCTTAAACTCGCGCTAAGCATTTTTTGCCCGAATAACAATGTGATTATTCCCAGTGTAGAGATCCAAGTCCCCATGAACAGCTGCTGCTGCTGATTCGCCTCATGTCCAGCGAGTTTAACATTAGAGGGATTTAGAGTTTACAACCACAAACGGCATACGTCAGATTCAAGTTGATAAATTCTTAAAATAGGGGATAAACAGATTTAAACACCTTAAAACAATTGGCGTGAATTGGCTGTTTTTTATTTTAGTAATTATAATGAATAGTAAACGAAAGTATAGGAAAAACTGCTCCATAGTGCAAATTCATGTTTTTACTTTTACAACGTGTTCCGACCATTTTACGTTTTTAGAACTGGACATTGTAAACTAAGGTTATTCAGGAATACAAACATGAAAGTCATGTTTAAAAATTTTTTGTGGGTATATTTTGTTGAGGAGCGCAAAACTGCTAGTCATACCACTGCTCAAGGAAGCTAATGGTGTTTCCTTGACGATAGTGTAAGTGATAAGAAGGAAAAGGTATAGTGACGTCGCTCAGTTGCGTTTGCAACAACGGAATAATTCAAACAAAAAATAGTCTCTGAGCGGTCGTCCTTCTTTCTTCAGAACCACGCGCGGCGAGCGAAAAAGTGACATTATGCAAATCATGTTAAAATGGATGAGAAATTGGGGAAGAGCTTGGGCGGGGACAGTCCTTTTCCCTCTTGGCATGGGCTTCCGCCTTCGTTCCTCGCTGCTTCACCGCTTACCACTCCTTTCGATCTTCTGTGACTCCAAAAATAATAACAATAATAATAAGAGACTGCTCCCAGTCTAACAAAAATGTATGCACGCAAGTTTTTCTGACCTGAGACGATACTTGTTTACTCAAAGTGATACAAAGACTGAAGCATATCAAAGAGAGACACTTTCTGGCCTTTTCAGTGCAGGATTTTATTTCACCTCTTTCTTACAAATCCCTTATCCTAGATTCAGATTTTAACCGCTTTTTAACAAGAATCAACAGTTTCTTCATTTTAAGGCCGTTCGAAGGTTTTTTCTGCGTTCTGCCGAACCTATTGGACCAATATGTATCCCATCGCTTTAATGTGCTGGTCGCCATTATCTCCCCCGGCTGCTTCGTTGCCACACGTGTTAGAGTCATCTTGGAACCCTCCAGTGCCAAACCCGATCCCGGAGTCACAGCTGCTACAGCCATTTTCGTTGTTTCCAATTATACCAATTCTTGCTTTGGAGGCGTTGCTATCGGTACAAATTGCGTTGAATCCTTCCTTTTTACAGTTGGTCTGTAACGAGGCCCGAGACCCAATAACCTTCTTCCATGTGTTACGGCCCAGTGAAGTAGCTCGGTATTTGCCACCTGCGATCAGTGAATGCAGGGATCTGGCTTGATGGTTGATGACAACAGACTTGAACTGCTGACCGATCTTCATTCCAAGACAGATCTTGTTAAACGGTGTGTTCCAATAAGTCGGTAACTTGGTCTCGTAAGTGTCCAACCCAGTCTTCCCTCCTGGAAGGTTGAAGTCGACTTTGTTGCTCCATAGTTTAGAATTGTAGTGGAAGGTTTTCTGGGTGCATTTGAAAAAGAAAAAGAAATACCATTTACATAAAGTGCTACCGCTTTGCTCTTTTATCCATTCGACAAATATGGTACAGTCGCATCTTGGTGTTTACTAATCTTGTCCTCAGGTATTATTCTCTTAGTACCTTGTCTGGTACTAATACAGTGAATTGATACACCATTGAGCTGACACTTTTTAAACCTACACCTACTATATTTACTTTTTTCTACTTGCGGGACACTTGACTTGCACTGAAAGTCTACCTTCAGTGTATAGTGGCAGTTAGGTGGTAAGAGTGAAAGGTTCTCTGATTAAATTAATAAAAAAGAACATCATGTAAGTTATTCAGATAACGTACTACATGTATCGCTTTTCTCCTTTATAATTTGACAAATATAATATCAGCATCTTGGTCTTCACTGAATTGATAAATCATCGTGCTAACAGTTATCAAACCTACACTTACTAGATCCACTATTACCTTGTATGTTGACCTCAATAATGTCTGAATCTCAATCTGTCTCCGCATGCGTCAAGCCCATGCTTGGTCATGTGACAATATACGGGAATCTTCGCAGATCCAAAGTTCAGGAGGTACTCTTTGTTTCCTTTAGACCTGGTTAAAAAAATGAAACTTCATTGGTTTACCTCAATCTGAAGTAATTGCCTCATTCGGGGTGATAGAAAGGCTGACTTAGAAAGGGCCCCAACGAAATTGAGGAAAAAGTCTTTCATATCAAGTGGACAACCTAAGTGGAAATCTAAGAATATCGAGTGACGCTGTAATTGCTGACTTTGTCGATAAGCAAAACTCTTCTTTAACGTCTATATTTTTTCCCCTTGTTTATATTGTCACCAGTCTTGGGCGTCGCTCCCAATTAAATTATAAATTACTCAGTCCTACTTAGTTAGTGATTCATATACTGTCCGTCATCTTGAGGGTTTCGTTAATTGTCAGTGCTTTCATTTTTCCTGATTTTTTTTCTTCGCACAAAAGTAGTGATCGTTATTTGAGTTTATTTTACCATTTCTGGACCAATGTTTGCTTTTTGTACTCTACAATCATCCTTACTGTAGGCCAAGATTGGTTCAGTGTTTCTATGATTTTCAAAACCCTGATTTTGTTCACATAAGTTAGCTTATATTCTTTTCAACTTTGTGGTGTCAAAATGCAGGAGCATAAAACCAAAAAAGTATAATTTTTACAGTTTTGATGCATTCGTTACACACTTCCTTTCTTTTCTATATTAATTTACGGTTATTTTGCTCAGAAACTTTCGTTTTTGTGTAACCGATTTTCGTCATCATTCAGTGCTATAGACTTTGTGCAGATGATTCCAAACATGTTTGGATCCTTTGTCCTTCGTGTGTCTGAATTCTCTTCGCTCTTCTCAATAACGCAAAAGTGCACGTCATGTTTTTCTCTTGTCTATAGGGAGCTTCTGGGTTGTGAGTGGAAGCCGATTTTGGCGATATTTTTTTCTGGCGTAACTCTGTGTTTACTACGAAAATGAGGTGTATTAGTGTATCTTTAGCCTTCTTTACTTACAGGTTCTTGTCATAAATCTCCTTGCACGTTGAAGCTGTTGAGAAAAAAAATTTCTTTGTGTTTCGTGAAGCTGAGTTATGTTACATTACATTTCATCTTAAAGGTGTTATTAGTTTAATCACATCTGTGTGTTAGAACGGAATATAAAAATTCTTGAATTACCTGCATAAGGAGAAGGCTGTAGCAGTTTTATTAGCTGATCGAGCTTTTCATCGAGTTTCTTGATAGCATCGCTAGTTACAGCGCCCTGTCCAATGTACTGATTGCATGCAACTGGCTCACCATCCCCTTTTTTTGTTGTCTTAGTCCCATTCGCCGCGCATTCCGCGAAAATCACAAGGAAGGCTACAAAAGCAAAAATCTCATTGCGGTAGCCTGACAAATTGGTGAAGTGCAATATTTCTCCAAAGTTTTCTTGAACAGAATGACTCATGCTGTAAGAGGATGTCTAAATTTATTGACCTGAGATTTGGCTTGTAGGAAGACTAGAAAATTTTCCAGTCGGATTATTAAGTAAATAGTTGCCATTTGAGATATTTTTGCTGGAGAAAACTTTTGTGGTGCTATGTAAAATACTGATAGCAATTTTGTGGAAAGAAAGGTGTAAAGACATTTAGTAGAACTCAGAGTGCGCCAACGGAACCCCGTTTATCGCGTCTTTTGCTGATTATTTCAGCCCTGCTGTTAAATTTTGCTTTTAAATATTAGTTGCATAATCAAGGGCGAGTACAGTGTAAGTAAATTTTCGTGAATAATTACAGAGCTTGAAGTTTATTTCTAGTTGTTCAACGGAACAAAATCGACGACAAAAAGTAGAAACTCTTACATTGAAACAGCAGGAATTGTATTCACTGCGTAATACTATAAAGATTATTCTGAAATTATACTAAAAGGCTATAATTATAGTTGTCTGCATTTATTATTTGCAAACTTTGAGGTGCTATTGTTCCTACGGCAGTTGAGACCTCGACTTCGTGACTACAACGTCATTCTTCCTCGACTAATTTTCTTCCTAAGTTTTCTAGCCTTTGCAAATGTCTTAGTTACTCTTCAACAATCTCTTCAAAGTACCAACCCTGGGTATGATATCTTGTCTTGAAAGATTCTCGAATGTCGTGAGACTTATACGAGACACTGACAATGGAGAACTCAACCGAAATGACATTCCATGATAATCTGTGGTGAGACAAAATACTGTTTATTTTTTAGGGTATTTACATTTTAATTTTTCTCAGCATAAACCTTGAACTTTTTGAGGCCTTGTGCTTAAGGTTGGACGTTTAATCAGTTTAGTACTGTCTGCTGTCTGTTTTAGTACTAATCATGTTTTATTGTTGAATTAACTTTATTGTACAGTGAAACCTCGTTATAACGAAGGATCAAAGGACTGACAAAATTTGTTCGCCTTAACACGGTGTCGTTATATCAAGGTTCTTTTTCATATATTTTACTATTACTGGGTAAAGAAAATCGTTTGTTGAATCGAAGACTTCGTAATATAGAGGTTCGACTGTAGAAGTATTTTATCAACATGTCGAAACCCTATTTGGCCGATTCCTTTCCCTGTTGTGTGACAGGTCAATTTTCAGCTGAAGCTTTTTTTAAAATCTTTTTGTATCATTTTTCAAGCTTAATGAGTAGTTATGCTGATATAAGCGCATGCACTTAGTCGCTTGGTTTCTAGAAATTGTAAGACAACCATCCGGCAAACGTGTTTTTAAAAGCTATCTCTGTTTTCCTCAGACAGATCAAAACGTTTTTATAATCGGAAGTAAGTTATTATTGTAAAGTTGGACGTAAATGGCTTGAAATTGTATTGTAAATAAGAAGGTGATTTTGCAAGTTTAATATTCCAATCATGAATAAATTTGAATCAGTTTAATTGCTTTTTACTATCAGACACCTTTCATGAAGACCTTAACTTTTCTTTTTGTTCTTTGTGTATTAAAACTTTGTTTGAACCGAAACAATCGCTTTTTTCTCGTCAAATTTCATAACGAAGAACAGATAAGAAAAACAAATAAGACGTACAACAAGTTCCATTGCTTTTGCTTTTGAACATAATTGTTTCGACCATTTCTTGATTCGAGATCTAAAAGGAGGAAAGAAAGACAGAGACCAACTCTAGCTGTCCGTTCTACCAAAGTGTTCGTCTTATTGAGGTGTAGTCGACCGTGAAATTAAATTAAATTACCTTTGATTCATATTTCACAGTTTCTATGGACTGAAGACTTGTTTCGGTTCAGCGCCCCAAATTTTTGAAAGCGTCTTTTTTTCTGGAGATGCCAAAATTGATCTGTATGGTTCTTCATCTCATAATATGATTTCGGAACCCATTAAAATGATGGCTTTCCGGCTTGAGTTTTTTGTTCTGAATCGTTCGTTAACCCTCGCTTTGAATTGCCGCCAAGAAGAGTCGAAAGTTTTCAGCCCAAAACTTGCTTTCCGCAAGTCTACAACAACTAGAACCATGTTAAGGTAGAAAGGAAATGTATGATGTGGACTGAAAACCTTTGCTATAAACTTGGTCTGATGACCATTATACTTCAAAGGAATCCTCTCTAGCTTGCAAGTTCTCTAGTGTATTTTGTGTCTTTTATCACAACAGCGACAATTTTATACTTTACTACTCCTCCCATGAGGTAAATCCTTGTTGGCTCCCACATTTTGGGAGCCACGTGACCAGCCGCAACTAGGGTTATTTCTCGAGGCAAGGGAGGGAACTCTGGGAACGAGGTTGATCTGATCGCTGAGCGCCTGTATTGTGGGCTCTCCATTTGGCGCCAATTCTCGCTATTTGAACGCCTACAATAGGCCAGCATTCAACTACATTAAAAACCAGCGAGTAAAAACCTGGCTTTTAAGAACCTGTCGGGCTAAAATTTGAGATAGGTTCTTATTTTCTAAAATCTATAAAAAAAAAAATTGCATACACTTTGACAAATAAGATAAGTCAAACCTCATTTTCACATAAATACTAATTTGCTATGTAAATTTTATATAAGGAATAAGTTGAATTCTACCAAATACTCTCATCTATAATGTTTGTTTTCTTCAGAAAATTTTGAGCCTATTTTAGAACCTAAATAGCCTAATTTTTTTGCTCATACTAGTACTATCATATATTTCGTCCGTTTTCACACTCTGTTGCATGTTGTTGGATGTTGTAGCGCAAAGTTTGGGCCAACAATGTTGGGAGTTGTTGGGCTGACAATGTTGAGAGTTGTTGGGTTTACAATGTTGGGAGTTGTTGTATCCGTTTGCACGTAGCTTAAGAACCTGTTTGGGCTAACTTGGAAAAATGCAGGTTCTTACTCGCAGGTTTTTACTGAATCTGTCTTTCAGTCAGTGATTTTTTGAAAGATAAATTAAGAATTTTTGTTTACTTTGGGCACACTTAGAGCTGTGATTGTTGATACGTTTGCTTTTGTATCTTTCAGGCTGTCTATAAAGAATTCTGTAAAGATTTCAAGGTTGAGATGCCTCAAAGTAAACCGCTATCACCAGGAGAGATTCTGGGATGCACTGCTCCAAGGATAAAAGACAAAGATGCATTTGTGTAAGATATGATGTTAATACCTGCTGTGTTGAACTATGCAGTGAGAGTTGTTAAAGTATGATGTCATTTTCCATTTGGTTTGCAATGAATTGTTTTTATCGATAGGTATTGTGTCCGATTTAGACCAGTTAGTGTAATATTAGATTCAATAAGGTCTCTTTTAAAAGTACATTCCATTTGATCGTGTGCCGTTTCAGTTAAAGATCTGGTTGGTAACCTTTAAAACAGGGTTTAATTTAATAAAGCTTTTACAAGTGTAATTTACAAGTGCAGCTATTGTTTTCAGACTCTAAGAAAATAGCTACACTTGTAAATTACACTGGTATAAAATTGACCCCTGCAAGCAAATCAGCCCTGAAAGTGAACGCGCTTGTATTCAGATTGCAGACATCAATAAGATTTCTGTAATGAGTTTTACTTC